GCAGCCCGAGCAGAGGGGAAGCCCGAGCAAGGAAGGACCGAGTGTCGCCCCGCTCGCAAGAAGTCCCCCTGAGTTCCGCGGGTCGTCACTGTCCCCGTTGGGCCGCCTCCAGAGTCCCGAGGGGGGCGTCCCACCTCTTCTCCCCTCCGCGCTGCCAGCAACGTTTCGCCCTCCCGGGTTAGACGCTTGCCCTGGAGGGCGCCTCACATCTGGCCGCGACCGGGCAATTCCCGAAGCTCCGGGGTGTCCCCTCCGGCCCGGAGGCCCCCTCAGGTGGGCGAGCTTCCCGCAATCGGATCCAGAGGGCAGCCCTGCTCCTCTGCCGTCTGCGTGCAAGAGGAAAGCCGTCCCCTCGCCGCCACACACACACCCCCGGCAATGCTTTCCAAAGGGCCGCTTCTAGGATGGACACGCACACCGAGACCACCGCTTTCCGTGAATTTTCTCGACGGCACTGGTGCCCTGCTTCGGAAATCGCCGCGGAGGTTTCTGCGGAACTAACCAGCTCTCCTGCCGGCACCTTGACATCCTCTCCCCGCAGCTGCACTCGAGAAAGGGGGCTCTAGAGCTGTAAAGAACCGGACGCACAAACAACAGCCACAACTTTGTTGTGTGTTTATGTCCATTTTTCTCTGCTGCCAGGAGATGCACAGCTTTTGTCAGATTCCACAGACCAACAGGAGGAAAATCTAGAGAAGTGCCTTGTGGTGCCTTTCAGCCTCAAAGGGACCCCCTCACCACTGAAGGAGTATACCGGATTCCTTGCAGTTATGGACAGGTACAGTATATATTGGAACCACAAAATGCAGCATCCACACCAGAATCAAAGTACATGAGAGACACTGCAGACTAAAACAACCAGAAAAATAGGCAGTAGCTGAACATGCCATAAAACAAGCTGGACATGAAATTCTATTTCAAAATACTGCAGTACTGGACAACACCAGCAATCATTATGTTAGACTGCACAGAGAAGACATTGAAATCCACAAACACCAGCAGAGCTTCCACAAAAAAGAAGTTTATAATTCAACAAAGCCTGGCTCCCAGCACTGAAAAATACAGCCTGCAAAAGGTCAACGAACTCTACCCAGCCACAAGGACCAGTGATTACTGCACACAAAAGACCAGCTAACACCTATCAATCACAGTGACAGATCATCTCTCCCCCTTATCACAACAATACATCCACAACAAAAACACGCTGATCACCATAATCACCCAATCTCCTGAAAAGGACAAAAGCAATTCCCACAGCTATAAATACTCAACTATCCAACAAACTGCACCAGAGCACAGACAGAGTTCTGACTTCTGTCCTCTGAAGATGCCAGCCACAGAGACTGGTGAAACGTTAAAAAGAACAACCTTCAGAACACGGCCACAGAGCCCAAAAAACCCACAGCAACCATCAGATCCTGGCTGTGAAAGCCTTCGAGAATACATAAAATTGGTTGGTTAAATTGCCTCAAAATTATATATATTTGAAACCAGAATTACTTTTATTAGTTCTTATTAGAGGACTTTGAGAACACTGTATACTATGAGAGCAATATTATGACAGTTACCAATATTGTACACTAAAATACACATATGATTGGTTCAAATGCTTAAAAATGTAAATATTTTGAAGGGACAACTAAGAAGACTCCAAGATGCAAAAACAAATAATTGTAAGCAACCCATGTAACACAATGATTAATAAGCATGAACTGAATGCAGATAGAATGAAAAACTAATAAAAAAGTTTTTTAAAAAAAGAAGCGCCAACATAAAGATATAATTGCTGCTTTCATAAGAAAAGCATTTTAATGATGATGCATCATTTCCAGAGAGCTTAAAGAAGGGGAGGAAAAGGAGGGGAAAAAAGGGAGGGACACACAACAAACCCCCAGGAGGTATAAAAACAAACAGCCCACCTCTTCTGCAGTGGGAACAAGGAAAACTTTGTGCCAGGTTATGAGGGGGATCATCATCATTGATTGCACCGTCATGTCAGGGAATTACCTATTCATGCAAATATGGTAGCAGGTTCACAGATTAATTGGCTATTTTAAAAAGGGGGTCATAACTCAAAAACCATTTTTCAAACCCTTTCACTCATGGATCCTGTAAAAGTTTCCTGCCCATAAATTATTTTCAAAATTCACTATCATCTTCTCTCTGCTTATAACCCCTACATACTCCTTTCTGTGATTGATCCATCTGAAATACCTACAGCTGCCCAGGTGTCTCTTGATCTCTGGAACAACTTTCACCGTTTTCCCCTTGCTGCCACTTCAACACACAACAGTCTCCCATAACACCTCTATGTAACCCATATCCTTTAAATCAAGGAAGCCTCCCAATATCTATATCCTGTTATAATCCATATCATAAGCCAGTGTGCTGCAGTGGATGGAATGTCAGACTAGGATTCAGGAAACTGTATTTAAAATCTCCACATGGCCATGGAAACTGGTGACAGTGGAAAAGCCACTCCTTAAATATCTCACATACCTTGGAAACCCTGTCAAATTGACAGAGCATAACACATGCACACTGTAACTAAGCCTCAAGTACATAAAATCAAAACAATCACTTATTTTCATCCTACACTCATGTTCTACTTCCCCTCTGAACACATCCCCTGACCGCAAGTCTCATGTGCTACTTCTTCTCTGTCAAAGTATAGTACCTGCACATAGGTTGCACTACATAAATAATACGTGGACAGTAGCAAAGATCATACAGTACAAGACAATCTGCAATATGCTGCTGCTTCAAAAACCACTCACCTTTCTTTCTGTGGAAAACAAGTGCCTAAATAATAGTTGTTTGCTAAACCGCAGAAGCCTCTGTGCTGCAGGGTTAGATGCACAGCAGTTATAAGATCGAATCCATGCAACGGAGTGAGCTCCCGTCGCTTTGTCCCAGCTCCTCGCCAGCCTAGTAGCTTGAAAGTATGCAAATGCGAGTAGATAAATAGGCACCACCTCGGTGGGAAGGCAAAACAGTGTTCCCTAATCACGCTGGCCACGTGACAATGGAAACTGTTTTCGGACAAGCGCTGGCTCTACGGCTTGAAAACGGGATGAGCACCGCCCCCTAGAGTCGGACACGACTGGACTAAAAATGGCAAGGGGAACCTTTACCTTTACCTTTAAACTAAAGCCCTAGCAAAATCTGCCAACTTATGTGGGTTGTCTCACTTTGCCTAGTAGTAGGGCCGGTCCTGTCTAGGAGACCACAGCAGCCTCCCCATGCTAGAAAACTATCTTGGGCATGATTTACAGAAAGTACACCAAGAAAGTACACCATTATTTCCATTATTCTGTCTGCTGTTGCTCTGGAGGTTCATTGTAGCTTCACCACTAAGTGAAAGGCACAGCTAAAAACCATCATGGAAAATGCAGCTGCACTGCCCACTCACTATCAGCACTCAGCAGGAGCCACTCAGAGGGGAACATTAAGGCACAACTTGGTTTAAAAAAAAACCCCAATAAACATTTATCCTGTCACCTTTGTGAGAGAGATTTTATGAACTCTGCAGCGTCTCACAAAGTGATTAATCCCCTGCAATGACAGAAGTACATCGCTGCATCAGGGCTACACACTGTCAACATATATCAAATATGAGTAGTCAGAGCAATGAGTGGTCTGTTTATCAAGGTGTTTGTGTCCTCCGACAGCACCTAGTAAAAGATGCTTTAACAAAGAACCAAAATCTGAGGCTAGTTATGCAACAGGTGATCCTTTGCCAACCAGTCCCAATATATGCCTTCCACATCTGAAAGCATTTGCAAGAAGTTAAAACTACTGCATTGCTCAAAACGACTTGCTTCCACTTACTTTTTCTATTGGAACAGATTGCAAGTCTTTTAGCACCATGTAAGCTATTATAACACCACCATTATGCTAATCCTCAGCTACAAGCTTGTTCCCATATCAACTATTCTTATAGTCCACAAAAGGAAAAAATGGCAACAAGCTGTTTATTTGCATATGTCTTCGTGTCTGTGCTGCTTCCTTATGTCAAATTGTCACAATCTAGACCCCAGCAGTGGTGAGAAAGAGTTGGTCTCAAACCCCCCACACACACAAAAACCCTGATCTTCTGGGCTCCAAACCCCTGGGGTCCATTTAGTCCAGGGCTGAAGAACCTACAGTATTTTATTTCCAAAGGGTCCAAGTGTGGGCGAGTGGGGCAGTGGGAGAGACACCAAATATTGGCTTAAAAACTCTGCCTCTGGAATAACCTCGCCTCTGGAATAACCTTCCCCCTGACATTCGCGCCGCCCCCTCGCTGGGTATCTTTAAAAAACAATTAAAAACACTGCTGTTCTGGCAGGCCGTCCCCACCGTCAATTCCTGACCTTCCCTATTTTTACTTTGCCCTAGTCTTCGTTTCACTTCGTTCTTGCCTTTCCCCTACTTTAAAATTGTATTAATTTTTATTGTAAATTGCCATTGTTGTAAGCCGCCTAGAGTGGTCCTATGTGATTCAGATAGGCGGGATATAAATTAAATAAATAAATAAATAAAATGCCCAATTCCGTGCAATTAGACTAGATGGGCTAGTTTAGATTCCAATCCATCATTTTATCAGTGCTGACAGTCTACTGCAAAATTGTACCTGCCAAACACAAGCTATCATACCTTGCAGAGAAACATACATTCTCAATTTATAGATAACAACCTTTTAAAAGCTACTGAAGGTAGTACAATTTTGTATTCAATTCTGTAACTATGCATCTCCTGAATTGTTTGTTTATGCAGAAAATGTTGCCAATCCTTTCAAAAAGCCTTTTATTACATTTGGTGGTGAGGAATTTTAGTACTTAATTGTGTATTGCATTAAGTATTCCTTGTTTACCCTGAACATTTAGTTACTCCATTTCATTGAATGCCTTCAAGTTATGCTGTGTTGAGAAAGTGATTTCTGTCTATTCACTTTTATTGAGCAATTTGAAGCTCCACAGTGCTGTTTTCAGAACAATGCAGTGTTATCTATCTCAGCCTTTATGGAATACATTATCCTATGCCAATTTAAGAGGAAATAAACCTACTGAAACTAATAAATAAACACTTGGAGAACTGGTTGTTCTGGATTTTTCGGGCTCTTTGGCCGTGTTCTGAAGGTTGTTCTTTCTTACCTTTTGCGCCAGCATCCTGCAAGCCCGGCGTCTTGACAGCACCCTGTGCACAGGTTGCTGTCCTCTGAAGATGCTGGCCAGAGACTGGCGAAACGTCAGGAAGAACAACCTTCAGAACACAGCCAAAGAGCCCGAAAAACCCAGAACAACCATTAGATCCCGGCCGTGAAAGCCTTCGCGAATAAACTTGGAGAACTTTTTATTTTCTGGTGGGGGGGCTTCTTTTTGAGATGAAACAATCAGATTTGCACATCAGATTTACAGTGGTGCTATAATACTTCTGGGTACAATTCTATTGGCATTCACATAACATTTGCATAGCTTGCCATGGCTAATTCAGCATGGCTCAGTTGCATACTTGGGAATGTGATCATGCACAGGACTGAGAAATTCAACTGACCTTCCTCTAGCAAGTTACACAAATCTTATGCCATCAACAGTAGGATACTAACCTGAGTTTTGTTTCTAACCACTCCCTAAAAATTGCAAGGAATACATTTATACATACTTTCAGTGAGTCCTCAGGTAAGAGTCCAGAATCTTTTTCCAGACTGGTTAGTGTCCATAGCATTTTCTGGATTTATTGCAAGCCATGTGGACACACAAATCCCTTCTTTCTCAATATGTGTGTGCTTAACATTGTCCCGCAATGCACTGTGCCTGTCACCCTGCTTGTACCACTTGAGTAATGAAAGAAAACTCTACTGTATCTGATTGTGCACACCATTTAATTCTTGAAGGAATTCCTAAGTGCCTCAGCCTCTTCAGGGCCCATTTACTTTGTAAGCATTGCTGGATGTACTGCACTTGAAGGCATTCAAAGGCACCAAACCCAAAAATAATGAAATCTAGATGAGTGAACTTGTTCCGGAAACTCTGAGTGTGAGGGTTTGACTTTAGACTCCTTCTTTGTTTCAAAGAAATCAAGATATTTTTGTGGTTTAGAAACAGATGAGATATTTATTGGAGTGTTTAACAAAGAACCAGTGTCTATGATATGATTCCAACGTCTTTCTCCTTCGGACAATGGGTCGTGAAGGGTCTTCCAATCATCGTCTAGGAACGGGTTCTTCTCACTGGAGTTCCATGGACCCGGCCAATCTGCAAAGATGTTCGGGTTCACAGTCTGTCCCGCTTCACCTTCCAGCAGGGGCTCCTGGCTGTCACCCCACACAAGATCTCCTTCTAGTGTGGGAGTCTTCCATGGTCCTCCCGGTATCCCTTCCTCCTCATTTCGTTCACTCTCCATTCCAGGCTCTTTCTCCTTTCCCTTTCTACTCTTTCCTTCTCCACTCTCTAGCCTCTGCGTCTCCCCAATAGGATGGTCGTGGTGGGATCTCCTGTCTTCTCCTATAATCCGCCTCCTGTCTCACACTGAGATGAACTAAAAGAGGACAGGGTAACTGCTTTGTCCTAATTAATTAAACCACAGGCAAAAAACCTGGCAGTGGTGCTATGAAGCTTAGCTTGCCTTAGGATTGTGCAGAAGGTCTTCATCCTACCCCAAGAGTTTAAAGTGAAGGTAGAAGACCCTTCATGAAGCTGATTGATAAATCTGTGCATTCGAGGCCTAGCAGAATGGGCGGGGGGGAGTTATGACACAACTACATTTTCAATTAGTATATGGCCACATTGCAATTAATTTTCAAACCTGTATGGATTTCAAATTCAGACTTTTTTTTGCCTATAACACCTCCTATCTCTGCAAAAGAACAGAGCAAATATAATGTCCTCCATTTATTTAAATTATCAAAATACCAAGGCATCCAGCTACTAAAGAACCAACACAGAAATTTTATACTTGTGGCCAAGTGGGAAAAGAAATAATTAGTCCACTGGAGAAAGTTAAAACTGTGTAAATGTTACACCAGTGGGCCACTATAAAAATAGCAGTGCTTTCAGGTTTTTTCTCATTTTTCAGATGATAACTATGTTCCATTCAGAAGCCTGCACTATTTGAGAAAAGAGCCAAGTCCTACAAAATCAACCAACAATGGCTCAAGAACTAAGCTTACAAAAGCCTTCTTATCCAGAGAAATAAAAGGATGGCCATCTATATTCAATTTGAAGTTGTACTTCAAAGCAGAGTAAATTTCACAAGTGATGGTAAAGGTAAAGGTTGCCCTTGACAATTTTTTTTGTCCAGTTGTGTTCGACTCTAGGGGGCGGTGCTCATCCCCATTTCCAAGCCATAGAGCCAGCGTTTTGTCCGAAGACAATCTTTCCGTGGGCACATGGCCAGTGCGACTTAGACACGGAACGCTGTTACCTTCCCACCAAGATGTTACCTATTTATCTACTTGCATTTGCATGCTTTCGAACCGCTAGGTTGGCGGGAGCTGGGACAAGCGACGGGAGCTCACTCCGTCACGTGAATTCAATCTTACGACTGCTGGTCTTCTGACCCTGCAGCACAGGCTTCTGCGGTTTAGCCCGCAGCGCCACCACGTCCCTTCACAGGTGATGACTTTCTTTCAAAACTATAGTTCTACTTCATGGGTGCCAATGAACATTCTAACACTCCCCATAGATTTCAGTACCCTGTCCCATGTTTGCCACTTAATTTCACTTTACTAACAAGGATACATAATCCTCCCCCTCATGCAACCACCTTGGCAACTGTATACAAAATTTCTAACCCCTTTATGCTTCCTTCCTATGTTGAACTACTCCCAATTTTCAGACATAAAAATGTCCCCTCAAAAGATTTGCAAGAACATCCCTTTCGCACTGTTCTTTTTCTTCAACCTCACTATGAAAATTGTACCATACCCTTTATAATAATTCCATGCTCTCAAGTAGCTTCCAACTTATACAGCAACTCTTTCCGGGGTTGTTTAGGCACAGAGCACTCAGAAGTGGTTTGCATTCCCTTTTTTAACAGGTGCTCTGTGTCTGTGCAGCTTGCCCAAGGTTACACAGGCTGGCTGTGCTCCTGAGAGGCACTGAACCCTCAACCTCTGGCTCCACATTGAAGCACTCAATTCACTCTCTATATCCTGACGAAATATTAAAGTTGGCATATGACCTAACTTGCACACTTTTTCCACTTACAATGAATTTGAGCTGCCATTTCATAGACTAAGAAGGACAGCATTAAAATCAAGTGCAGTATACAGTCCTGAGTGAAAAAGACGCACATCATTTACAGAGTTAGTTGCTTCACCGTACCTCCTTACCATGACATGTTCCTTTTACACAGGGGTAGAAGGATGTCCTTCCAGTGTGTTGTCCCTCCCATTTAGTTTTAGTTCCTGTCTATCGAGGCGAATGGGAGGGACAACCCACTGTATGGATGTCCTTTTCCCCATATAGGAAAAAGAAACTGCCAGCTCCTTTAAACTTTATAGGAAGCCAAGTCACATTTCAGCATAAAACTTCATAATTTTGAACCATCTGAAGAGCCAAATAATGCTTTATGAGAGCCTTTGTAATTAGTACGACCAAAGAGTCTATTTGAGCATTACAGCTCTAGATGGCTATACATGTAATTAGATTAAAATGGTATTTCCAGGAGGCAGCTTAGCATCAGCTTCTCCTGACACAATGAAATCCCACATGCCCTTGCCATTCATTATAAGCATGTCAGGAAGTTGCCATGGTATGAAATACTAGAGCATCCAAATGCTATTTTATTTATCAACAATTAAGATCAACGTGTTACTCCTGCCAACTGCTCTCTACATCACCAATTTGAGGAATAGGGAGGTGGAGGTCGAGAAGAGTCATTTTCACTTAGCCATTCAGGACAAATCAATTAAAGCCACTGCTGGAAAACCAAGAAGACAGCTGGAAGCCTTTAAGCCAGTGATGGCGAACCTTTTTGAGCCCGAGTGCCCAAACGGCAACATAAAACCAAATTATTTTTTCAAAGTGCCAACACTACAATTAAACCTGAATACTGAGGTTTAAGTTTAGAAAAAAAAACTCATACAGTTGTCTGAACTAATGAACACCTTTTGTCTTAAAAGAAAAACACAGTAACAGAACTTTCAATGACACAAACAATTTTTATTGAAAAATAACCATTAACTCTAGTAAATGGAAAAAATATTAAAGTAATACATTGTACACGTACAATGGTGCCTCGCATAGCAACGATAATCCATGCAGCAAAAATTGCTGCAAAGCGATTTTGTTGCTATGCAATTTTAAAAAGCCCCTAGGAATGCACTGAAACCCTTCAATGCGTTCCTATGGGCTTAAAACTCACCTTAAAGCAAAAATCCTCAATATGGCGGCCATTTTCGTACCCGGTAAGCGAGGAATCGGCGCGAAAACACAGCAGGCGGCCTTTTTTTTAACCCGGCGGCCATTTTGGAACCACCGATCAGCTGTTAAAAAATCATCACTTTGCAATGATCGGTAAGCAAAACAGGGTACCGATCATTGCAAAGCAATTTCCCCCCATAGGGAACATCGCAATTCGATCGCAAAATCTTCATCGCTATGTGATTTCGTCATTAAACAGGGTGCCGTTAAGCGAGGCACCACTGTAGTCTGAAGCCAGGTAATTTATACAAACTTTTAAAATAATGATATGCATGTATTTTTTTAATAAGGGATACTCAACTTGGCATGCTTTTGCACAATAAAGCACCCTGCTTGCGTGCGGAGGGAGAGCTCTCCGCGTGCCAGCTGTGGCATGCGTGCCATAGGTTCGCCATCACTGCTTTAAGCTTTACAGTCTAGTTACAGCCCTAAAGCAGCATTAGGTAGGAAGCTATCAGAGTGCAATAATTTGAAAATCAATAATATTTATTTTAAAAACTGGGGAAAGAGGATGAAGAAAATTCAGGTATTTGGACCGAGTTGCAAGTTTTCAGCAATTCGGCTTTGGTGCTCAAACAACCCCATCAAGACAGTCAATAAAGAGCAAACCCACAGCGCCAGAAGGCACAGAAAACACTTTACAACCGTAGGGAGATGATTTCATTGCGAATGTTAGCAGCGTATTTTTCCATCTCATTGATTTTCTGGTTTACTTGCTTTTTCTAGGAAAAAAAAAACAGAAAAAGCTCCTGTCAGAAAGTAACAGATAAGATGTCCAGCAGGATGAAGAACTCCAAAAGAAGGCCTTTAATGCAGATAGACAGAGAGGAACAATTCACGGCGAGGAAACAAGAAAGATAAAAAACTGGAGAGGAGAGAGAAGCTTTCTCGGAACTGCAGTCAGGCTAGTCTAGACCAGTGGTTCTTAACCTTTGTTACTCGGATGTTTTTGAACTGCAACTCCCAGAAACCCAAGCCAGCACAGTTGGTGGTGAAGGCTTCTGGGAGTTGCAGTCCAAAACTCCTGAGTAACCCAAGGTTAAGAACCAGTGGTCTAGACCACCTCAAGGTGATTATGCAGGAATGAGACCATGTACCACTTGGAATGGAGAAGGGTGGTAGTGCTATGCAGCCATTTTGAAATAAAGTAGCTGGGGAAAAGGAGCAAGCTGAAATGACTTTGCATTTCCCTGCAAGCCATACTTACAACCATATTGATCATTCTTTCTTTACAAAGTCTCAAAAACTCTTGCACTGTTAAGTCAGCCACATCTTTTTGGAAAGTAAGAAATGCACAGTTGGGGGAGTGCTTCTGGTGTTCTTTCCTAGAAATTAGAAGGAAAACTTGTATTAAGGCAGTGGACCTGAAAGTGTAAGGCAAGCCCACTCTGGGAACAGAAGCAGAGAACAGATAATGCAACACAAAAACCTCATCTGGGTCTTCACACATCATTCACCGCATCTGCCAGCTAGATCAAGGGAGGGAAAGCACTTCATCAGAACAAAAAATGTTGCTAACATACATAGATCCTTCTCTCCTGGGTTTTGGAAGAGATCCGAGTCTGGTAAGTTGCCCAGGAAAGTGTGCTCCATAAGTGACAGAATACTGTATTCCATACTTGCCAAACACATCTCCATTTCTATCCTTAAAATCTTAGCATACATAATGCACAGGTTCATAAGATAATATAGCTAGATCTGATGTTTACATGAAGCTGGAGAACGAAAACATTCCTATGTTCTCAAATTTATGACGGAGGTTGTTTTCTACTGCAGTTGAACATCACTGGCATATAACTACAGGTAGCAACACTTGAATATCTGCTGGTTCGCATTGCCTCCTCTGTAACTGGGACAGGATGAGGGTAAGATAATGATGACACTAAGATCTAGCCTCCTTTTGCTCATCTGTCTCTTCCCCATTCCTCTCCCTTATCTTCTGAAATTATCTGGCAATTGTGAAAGCTTGCACACAACCCCACACACACACTTTTTGGAAGGTTCAAGAAAGGAAATCAACCCAATAGGACTTTCATGGTCATAACTGCTTCTATGTTTTCCTCGCCTGAGGAAAAGGCTATAAAAATGCAGATATTTTAAAGGAAGTATACCCTGGATTTTTTTCAAAAAAGGAAGCCAGGTACACAGATTGCAGTACCCTAGCTGATCTTGTAACAATTCCTGTCAGCCACTTAGGGTACTGAGGAAAAAGCAGTAGAAACTCAAGGACTGTAAAAGCAGATTGTATATTAAAACAAACCCACTTTAACATATACAGTAACAGAACATGTGCTACTGTCACACAACTCTCCAAAACACCAGATTTGACCACCCAGGCAGTTTTCAAGTTGTAAATACACAACTTTCTTTTGAGAATACCAAAACAAAATAAAGTGCTGAATAGTATTATGGGTTTGCAGAGCAACCAGGGGTTTTTAATTTGATTAATGCTCTGCACACTGTGCCGCAGAGGGCTGACCAGCACAAGTTTAAGCCACAGTCTTTGGAAACAGTACACATACCATTTAAAACACCTGCTGCTGTGGACAGTGCGTCCAATGTTGAAAGATCAAATATAATTTGCCTATGATAAACTACCTCACTTATCTCTGGAGTGGCTGTATTGTGCTAGCCTTTGATAAAGAGGGAATATGTAAGTTAATAGCACCTTATATTAAAGATGAGCACCTGCCTATATTAGCCTTGCAATTTTTCATTATGCTGTCCAGGTTTTTCTCAGTACCACAGCAGATCCCATTTGGACTCACTTGGTGACACTACAAATTTTAGGAGTCAAATGTCATGGTACTTACATTGGGTCATCATCAGGCTCCCAGCCTTCCAGCTCCTTAAAGCATACAAAACACTCAGCCACATCAGGTGCATTCTCAGCTGGACAGTGAATGAATCCAGCCTCTGCCATCTAGATTGGGTTGGCAGTGGGGGGAAAAAGAGGAAGTAGGTAAAAACAGTATTCAGCAAAGAGAAACACTTTGTACTCATACACTGAAGGCTCCCAAACTAGAAAGATAAGACAAATGATATGGCCACATTTCTCTGTGGCTCTAAGCATCTACTAGTATCTACTTATTCAATGAACATACAGATCCAGAGAGAACAATGAAAACAGCATTGTGTGCACGGTACCTGCTTTTCATCTCCAGGCAGTTATCTGAAAAGTTTTAGCTAAACTAGCAGCTATATACTTAAGGAACAATCCTTGAGTCCACAGCTCAGCCTAGGTTGCTTTCTTCCCTCATCAGGGTGGATAAAAATAATTGATTTTTTTAAAAAATGAAAATTGATTTAAATAATGACTTATAATTTTAAAATGATTTTTTGATTTAAATTGACAAAAAAGATTTCTTAATTGTCTTAATTCATATACAGTATATATGTCTGGAAGAAGGCTAGGCTGGAGCCCTTCCTTCTGCTTTTATATTGCCCAGTTTCTCAACAATCCATACCTAAAGTCCTTAAAAGCAGAAGGGCTCCAGCCTAGCCTTCTTCCAGACGTATTAGATGTCTAGATACAGTATAGAGGATACTTCTATCAGCGGCAGCCTAAAGTAATATTCATGATCCTTTGTTATCTTGGGGAGAACTAAACAAATAAAAAGTTATTAAGGATAGATCCTCACAGAATTATGTCCAAATAAGTACTTCCACAGAGGAAGTTAACGCATCGCCCTTCAGATATTTCACACTACAGTTCCACTAGGACTAACTAGCCCATTGTTCCTAACCACTAGCTATGCAGGCTGAGACTTAGGCGCAAGCATTAGGTGCAAATCCTTTTTTCCTATCCTTTCCAAACTGGGGCGTTTTGGCGCCTGGAGTCCAAAATGACGGCTGCACGTACTACCCCCCCCCCTACGGTAACGCGCCGGATTTAGCCCACAATCGAGAAGGTCCACAAACGGTCCCGGGTTTGGGGGAAAACCAGACCGCTCACCCGGTCCGGCGTGCAGGAGCAGTCTGAGACGAAGGGCCATTGGGAGAAGGTGGCGACACGGCCCTCTTTCAGGAACAGCTCGAATCCCGGAGGCACCTGAAAGGCACCGTCCTCCATTGTTAGCATTCGCCGATTTTAAACAGCAGCGCCGTGAAAAGGATGACGGGAAATGCGCCGCCATGGAGCGTTGAGGAATCCTGGAGTCCTGGCACGCTGATTGGCCCGGGCTCTGAAGAGGAAGTCTGGAGCCCCGCCCCCCAAAACCAAAGTGAACCAGCGCTGTGCATGCTGGGAGATGAAAGATACAACACAAAGCCATGCGGCGCTTTAAAAACTCTTCATATTTTCATGGGAGCTTTCGTAGGTCACGTCCGCTTCTTCAGACATATGGGGTGTGTGGAAATGAAATACAGAAAGAAATACACCAGTCACATGTATAATATTCAAAACACAGCTTCGTCTTCTAAAACCACGAAGGACTTGTCGACCAACGTTAAGATCCCTTCTTCTATACCTCTGAAAAGGGGTCTGCAGCTCCGGACCCTCTTGTATATGGCGTAGATCTCGAAACCCACTCCCAATCGCAGTTCGGCTGAGCAAAAGGGTTTTGTTCTGCAAAATTATATATAATATGCATATATTATGCATATATTTTAAAGTTAAGCTTATATCACAATAACTCCTTTTTAAATGCCCCTTGTTTTGCTGCGACACAGACTACTGCATCCTAGAATCTGAAAGCATAATCAAGCAATTAATTCCGCCTTAGTTTCGGTTCCGATTTTAAAAAATTACTTGCTTCTTGGGAGAAAAGAAAGGAAAAACATACGCATCAGCTTGCACAAAAAGATTTATCACCTCTTTCCCGTTTTAGTTTAAAAACTGAGTATAAGCCAATGCAGACAATTGCTGTACAAATGTAAGGGTGTGTGTTTCAAAATAGAAATTACAAAGACGAAGTGTTCAAAAAATAATTGAGGTTATTCATCTGCAGGATGTAAATCAACATTTCACCTTCTTTTCAGACTTCACGATCTGCTAGAAATACTGTATAACAATTACCAAACAAATAGCTATCTGTTTCAGAATGCTGGGAAAAGGAAAGAGAGAAAAGTAAAGGGTGAAAAGGCAAAACATTGTAGCACTTTAAAGATCAACGTTGCACCAGTCTGAGAAAATGGCAATTAAAGTAGAATGAAACTGTTATAATGACATACTGTGCAGTAACATTCTGTGTTTTTTCCCATAGTCTTATGGGAGCCTGTAAAAAGATGTACCAGAAGAGACTACATGTCCAGACAATGGCACTATGAAATCTTGATATGATCTATTAATATTAAGTCCATGAAAACTCACGATCTTATGACTGAATAATTTCCATCTGTTTTACAATGTTTTTAAACATTTGTTTTTGCTTGTTGTTATAAAATTGATAAAAATATTGTTAAAATGATAGACTGCATGTGCAGGCTTTGGAGAGTCGCTGGAAAAACACTGCCGCGTTCCAAGCGAAGGGCATAACACCTGTAGACTTTAGCATTGCCACTGTTATTTTTACAATTTAACTCTTCTTTTACAAGGACTTGGCTGCCGTCTTTTCTTCAGGACATTGTCTGTCCTATTTGTGTATCTAACCCTGGGACAGGAGACCAGAGGTTCTATTGCTGTTGCTGGACTGCAGCTCCCATCATTATCCCCTAGGATTGGCCATGCTAGTTGGGGCTAATGGGACATGGAATCCAACAACCTCTTGGAGGGGAACACGTTTCTCACCTCTGATTTAATCTTACCGTACCGTAGCTCAGCCCTGCTTCTTCTATGCACAGTCGCTGCTTCAGAATCACCTTGCACTGTGCTGGGAAGGAAGAGAGCTTCATTTCTCTAACATTTGATAATGCCCCGTAGTACAGCGTCTAATGCCAATCCCAGTGGACTAATACTAATATGTGAAAGGTTCTTTTCGGATATGTCCCATCTCTGGGGGATTCTAGGAACTGTAGTCAGAAAAACAAGTCCTTCTGACTTCAAGTGTAACAACTTATATTCAAGTATTATTTTAACTAGAAAAACCCATCTTCAGCTGGACATTAAGTGGACCAAAATGTGGTGACTTATGTAGCAATTATGGCTTGCCTGTGCTCACAGATTCATTTCCACACCACTTCCTGGGAAAAGTGATTTACAACCACAATGCAATTGCAGTTTACACTGTAGTTTTATTTAATGTTTTCAGATCTCAAATAGTTGTTAAGGAAGGAGACTGCTGTAGGATCAGGCAGGAGCTATCTCTGTGCCAGTCAATCATAGGAAAAAGGCCCTTTGCAATCCCCTCCAAAAGCCATCAGGTGGCATACATTTCAGAAGTCTGTCTGTCTGGACAGGCTTGTCTCATCGAAAGAGAGACCAGTTGCATCAGAAAAAGGAGAGTGGAGGGGAGTCCAATCCCAGTTTGAAATAAAAAGACCTCAACTGAAAGAGGTCAGGTGTGGTCAGTGGAGGACATGCCTTATAGCTGCAGACGGGGATATCAGGACGAGAGCTCCATCTCCTTCCAACCTGCTCAGCTTCATGTTCATATTGATATCATATTCAGAATGACCTGGAACATCAAGAGATAGGCATATATTCAGACTATTCAATGAGGCTGGCTATTTTGCATAACGGATGAGCTCCACTGCAAAGCAGCCTTCATTCATTTGGTGAATGTGTTCTGGAGAAGACTGAATAAGAATTGGGCTTATTTGATGGGCACATTCAAATATCAAGGTATGGCAGAATTCTGAAGCCCACGTTGCCCAGTTTCTCCCATTGCAAGACTTCCGCCTGTGCTTTGTTTACTGTGATGTCCAAAGTTAACAATCAGGAACGTCTTCAACCTTGCAAACCAGAGAATATAAACCAGCATTGGTTCTTCATTCATTGAACTGGCTTGTCAAATGACAGAAAAGCCTGAATGCCACAGTAAACAAACTATGGATGGAAGAGCTACAGCTCCCACCGTCTTGTCGCAACGTACAAAAAGAGCCATTTTACATCGCATCCAATATTTTGTTCAAATTCTTAAGTTTTTGTTGTTTGAATTTCAGTGGTGTTGTGCCTATCTCTACAATGGGGTCTTCCTTTCTAGTTAGCACCCTACAGGGAAAGGGCAACACTGGGTAAAGAAAAAACCACATTATAGGAATACTTTCATATCATGCTCCACTATGACATGGAATCACACCCGGGGGATGGGGGGGGAGAGTGATTCCTCGGAGTCTGTGAATAGGTGTTGTCATTGCCCATCCCATTACTGATTTGACAAACTAGGTTTGCACATTTGAAACCTATTAATTCAGTCATTTGATCTAAAAAATATACATAAAAGCCACACTTGCTATGAGGTAGTATTGAATATTTTCAGTGACACTCCACACACACATTCTCCAGAGTCAGGGTACTCATGTTTTACCTGACACCTTGCTCCTAGCACAAGATTTCTGTCTCTCTCTGACCCTCATGCACAGAGCAGCAATTATTATTTCACCACAGTACATTTGCCAGTGAAATGACGCAACTACCTGTGTGAGGAGATAGTTCTCCTGGGACAGCTTTTCAATAATATCAAAGTGATCTGTGTCTCCAATGTCCAGCAAGGAGGCACTCCAGCCAGCTGCACGTAGAGCCTATGGGGAAGCAACAGGAATGTTAACAAATCTGTTCTCACTATGCGGTTGCCAGTGCCTTTGCCCTAAGAGCAGTGGGCAGTCTCAGTTTGAAAGGTCCCTGTTGCTTTTTGCTGAACTCCCGAGGTTCACCAGCAGATGCAAAAGAGTCACTGTTTTCTTGTCGTTATACTGTACAATGGGAGATAGAAGTACTAATGAAATGGACGAAATTTTAAGTCCTTCCTTATCCTGCAGAAAGATTCTACGTTGATATGTATGTATTCATAGCCTTTTAGATAAAAGGCTACGAATGAAGGACATTCATGATCAATCTCTACATATGTGTACCTACTATATACAAAGCTGCTGTGCCCAAATGGAGATATGTGTTATGTGCCACCAAGTCCCCTCCAACTTACGGCAATCCTATGAATTAATGACTTCTAAAATATTTTGTCATTAATAGCCTGGCTCATGTGTTCCACGTTAAAGACTGTGCCTTTATTTAGTCAGTCCCTCTCACATTCAGTTTTCCTCTTGTCTTGCTGTCTTCAACTCTTCCTAGTACTGTATTAGTGTGCACATCTATATACATAGCACGTGCAGACATACATAGAGATGGAGTGCAGTGATGCTCACACCATCCATGGTGATTCCTTTTGATGTGATTCACATTTGTATATCTATGAATACACATGCTGTTATGTCCAGAAGTACACACATTCAAATGCACTTATCAGCATGAAGACACCATTGCTCTCAGGGCTGTATTTGAGACCAACACAAGGAAGAAAGAGCCTTTGTTATAAGCAGGCTAATAGTTATATTTATGTTTGTTTCGGAAGTTTCCATGGTGGCATCCAGAGATGGTTGAAGGGAATTCTCCCAGAGAAAAGATCACAAGTCTGAGCTTGAGAGCCAGTTTGGCTAGATTTTTGCAGGCCTGGCACAAGGATGGTTGATGTGCCTCGTCCAAGCAGAAAAGAGACTGTGAATGCCTGTCAGAGAGTGTAATCTTATTTGGGCAGGGTTCACACCTCTGAAAGGGGCCTGAGGAGGCCATAAAAGAAGAGAGTAGGCCCGATGGAAAAAAAGGGGGGGGGACTGTTAGTAATTTTTTTAGCTATCGTTATTTGGTGTTATTTTTTAGTCACAGGGGAAGGTCCTATGATGGAAAATCCAAGTAAGTAATTTTTGAGAGATCAAGGAAAGTATAATTTCCAAGAGGAAACAGAAGCTTCAAAGCCAAGGTGGTGCTGCAGCTGCAGCAAAAAAGAAACTGAGGCACTCGGTGTCGGGGGCGGAGCCAAGGGCGATGTGAGGGAGGTCCTAACACCATGCGTTGAAAGCTCCAGAACAGGGGTCCCCAACCCCCAGTCCGTAGCCTGGTGTCGGTCCGTGGGTTTCCTGGAACTGGGCCATGGAGACACCCCTCCGCAAGTGCAATAGGCCGTCCGCAAGTGTGGGGGTGCCCCCACGCATGGAGCCCCCACCCCTCAAACAGTCCACGGTCCCAAAAAGGTTGTGGACCGCTGATCTAGAAATTCTGAGGTTCTCTGCACAAGCACACTAAAACCCATTAGTGTAAATTCACAGACAATCACTTTAAGAACCGGAGTTACAGGTATGTAACCTCTCTTTTGTTTGGTTAGCCAGGTTGAACGGTAGCTGGAAGGGTCCTTTACCATTGTGTCCTTCTGGGCATGGAATCCCTACATGTCAAACTGACTTCAGTAACCCACGCACCTCAAAATACTCCTGGGACTGTCTGCGAAACTCTGGCGAGTCATGTTGCGCTATGCCAATAAGTATCTGGCAAGCTCTTCTGCCCTCCAGCTTAGACACACGGCGCAAGGGGCTGTTCTGTTCAGCCACTTCCCTGGAGGAAACAGACATCACTGAGAGAGAAGAGGCCAGCGCAGAGATGACAGAGTGGTGGAGCTCAGCATCATCTGCAAGTCTGAGCTGAAAAGGAAATCATGTGAGAGGACACAAGTGCATGATGCTGGGCCACACAGGAGCAGCAGTCCTACTTGATTATCTGTTGTTAAAAACATAAGGCCCTGAAAGTAAGGATGCATTTGGGCAGCTGGGAAGGCATGTGCATGGTTGCACTGGAAAGAGTCACTTTGCAGGGAGCAACCTCCCTTAAAGCAACCCTTCCATCTGTTAGGGAATTGCTCCAGACTGACCCTAAAAAGGAGTAGCCCTACAACTGGAACCAAAATGATCTAGCTTAGGTATGGATTTGGGCTGGGCTGCAGTGCAGTATATAGCATGACTGCCAGGGAATAGATCTCACCGGACATCCACGAAACGATCCAGCTTGTGATCTATTTCCCTATATAATCATACTCCAACCTTAGGAAAGGGATGGTTCTAAGAGACCTACTGCAGTTTTGCAGCCCCCTGTGTTTATATTTTAAAATGTAGTTCTCACCGGCTCATGTGCAAGACATCATTTTCAGGGGTATGTAGGAGGGGCTCCAGGTCATAGATGCCACTCACCAAAAAGGCTCCTAGAAAGGAAAAACATAAACCCACGAACATCTTTAGTGAGACCTGACATTCTGGTGAACTGCAAAGCAGGACAAGCAAAATGGAGAAAAACAGCATGCAAACAATTTGAGGTGGAAAAATCTCCCAGACCATACCTTTGATGTTTGGCACAACACCAAATTCTGCCCAATCCGTAGAGAGCACCATGGCTGCCAGGTGAGCCCCTGCTGAGTGTCCAAGCAGATAAACCCCACTACATGCAAACAAGATATGGTTGCCATGAGCAAGTGGGAGGCTAAAGTGAGTGTGGTGGAAAGAACAGCCAGGTGGCTAAGGGGTCACAGCTGTGGACTTGGACAGGTTGTGAGAGGCTCTCCCTTTCCCAAAGCTGCAATGCAAGCCCACTTCCCAGCACCTCCCAGCATATCTGTGCCTCCTACCTGATCCCTGTGTACTGTTGAACGGCAAAGGCAACGCTATGTCGAACCTGCCTGACCATTTCTTCCAATCGCCCTGGGTAGAAAGCACAATATCCGAGTAGTGATAGGCATGAGGTGTTAATGGAAAGTGCGGTGGGGGGGGGGAGAGAAGAAAAACTGTACGTCCACAGTCACCTACCTTTTGGAGCCACATTGTAGCCAACTGCAGCCAAGGCAATACCATGGCTCACCAGGGGCAATGCAGCAAAGCCCGAAACGTCTTTGCTACAGATGGGGAGAAGGAAGGTAAAGGATAGCTGGTTACACTCAATCAAAGTCAATAGCTCCAGCTAGACTAGGGAGAATGCTAGTCCCAAATGGTTCTTTTGGATTTAGGAGGTCCTATATTCAGCACATCAGACCACAGATAACCATCAGCATAACTAACTCACCTCAGGAACTGCCAGTAGCCACCATGAATATAGAGGACCAGAGGAAAGGCTGAAAGGGGACACAATGGGTAACCAGGCAGAAAAGGCCATCGCCTTCCATTAATTTCCCCACAAGACACCGATTCCCCTCTCCATTCCTCCCACCCAACTTTAATTCATAATCAGATTCCTGGCTTCTGTCTCTTTCCATCTTCCCATCTCGTGCAGCCATTCTCAATGGGGGGGGGCATATAGCCCCCTTAGAGGCCCTAGCACATTTGAAGGGGGGCACAGACTGGAAACAATTCTGCACAAACCATCTTATAAGGTTCATAATGTGACTTATACAATCGTAACGCAACTTATACAATTCTGATTCACCCTATACTTCTTTCACATAGTGTGTATGGCCGTGGCAAAAACAAAACAAAAGTTCAGAATGGCTGTTCTACTGCACCCCCTCTACTTACTTTCAGTGTGCACTGTAGGAAGATACACATCAAGCTTCTCCCCCTCATCCATCCCATAGGGCACATTCAGCAGTGTCTGTGTAGCAGCCTGAGCATCACGGGTTCCTGCAGAGCAAAGGAAGGGCTAAAGAGGTGGACTTAGCATCTTCTTTGGCCATATCTATCTAGCCTTCCTCACCCTCACCCCCACCCTCTCAAGAGTTTCCAAATTCTGGTCCCTTCCTACATTCACAACTGCACTGTATCCTGTTCATCTGCTGGAAAATCAATATACACTTTTTTTTCTTGCTATATTCCCCAAGGGAAAAAGGCTCCTCACTAATTTGTTAGGCCCTTCTTTCTAACATGTCTCCCAGTGAGATTCTCTGTTATTGTGGTGGGGGTGGGACGACATTCCATTTTGGGTAGGTGCACTCCTGTCACATTTGTGGGCTTCCTTCATGTTCTCTGTGGGGCTAGCGAGGATCACACTCCCAAGGCTGGTCCAACTCAGGGTGGGCCCTTGAGATTGACACCAACTCCAGTGGACTTTCCCACCTGTAGCTTGCCCATGGATTGCGGATATGCAGAGGAGGCAGAAATCACAACAGAGAACACTTGTCATCCTGAGCTGCGGAGGTAGGAGGAGGAGGCTTTGACACCCCTGAGGGGAGAGGATGAAAGGGAGTCAGGAGGGGAAAAGGCAGAACGCTGGGAGGACACATCTGAAATGGGGGACTGGGAGGCCTGTCAGGCAGAGGAACCAGAAAAACTGGAGGGGCAAAGTTGCAAAGGTTTGGAGGTGGTGTGTGGATGTGATTGGCAACTGAGTGGAGCTTATGCTGCCACCAGAAGAGCCAACTGGGTATGATGGGCCCAGCATAGACAACAACCTTCCTACTGGGGGGAGCGAGAGCATTGTCATTGGAGGCATTGCAAATGTGGGAAACTGGGACCAGAAGCTAGTGGGTCCTTGCCTGAGGTCGACCCCAGAAATCTACCCCACTATCCAGTCAAGGTCTCCAGGAAAATGACCTTGATGTCCTGAGTACAGCCAGCACCCGGCCAAGTCAACCTTCACTTGGAGAGATCAGCCACAGTGACCTCATTCACCACTCTGTCCTCAACGCCACCCGAGGCCTTCCGGTATGGAAAAGCAGAGATCCTAGAACAAGGTGTGAGGCTGACTGACAATGAGCATACATCATCCCTACTTCAGCATGCCCTGCCTGGCCTACCTCTGCAGTGTACTCAACCTCCTGGAGAAAAAAGAGATCCACCCTCCCACCCCAAGGTGGGAGAACCAAGGACAGTGGCTTTCTCTTTCACCTTAGAGAGAATGATAGGTAAGGGATTCCCTGTTTGGGAGCATTGTAGTATAACCCCGTTGGTTATTGCTGTTCACCCAAATTTTAATAAACTCTTTATTTGATTGCAATAGGGACTGTGGGCAACAGAGGCCATCTTACATCATCCACTGTTTAGAATGTCTACAGGCCACCAACTTACTTTAATGTTATAAAGCACAAGTGCATGTACCATATCTCTTCGAAACCTGGTGCATAACTAACCCCTTCAGGTAACCCAGGGTTAGGTGCTCTTCCTTAACAACTGAAGTCATGCCTATATTCTTGGAGGAGGGCCAAGCCAGCAGCTCCAGTGTTCTATGCCAGAATGTCGGTGTGAGCCAGGGCAGCCCTATCTAGCTTGGCCAGATGTCCCTCTTCCATTCGTTGTTCCAGGACATGAAGTTTCAAACTTAATAGGGTTTATTGTAACTTGGAGGTGCTGGTGGGGGAATCGAATGCCTGCAGATCTGATTGAGAGTCTATGGTCTTAGTTCTATTTACAGAAACACAGTGTGACTTCTTCCTGTTCCAGCCCCTGGTTCCCTTCACCGGGAGGGGCTTATATTCTCAGAAGAGCCCAATTCCTGTCAGTGGACTCTTAGTCACTCCAGTCTCTTAGGGCCTGGCAATGGGGCTCCTCCAACGTTGGGCTGCTCCTATGAGTGAGGGCTAATACGACTGCAAAGAGGGCACATAAGACCCTCTCCCCAGGAAGCCTGGTCAGCCCCTGCTTCCTGGTCTCCTCTACCCGTCTCTCTTACTCTGATGCTTGCATTTTGGCTTCCTCTACCAGTGTCAGCTCTGTCTTGATGTAGGCTCCCTCCACCTCACCACTGGCTCCCTCCTCTTCTCCCCCCCACCCCGTGTAATGGGTGAGGAAGAGGTTTGGGATTTCCATACTTTCCCTCCTCTCCCTTGGGGATCCAGACCTGGACGTGAACCAGAACCCCTATCCAAGGATCCTCCTTATAAATGTAGTCCCATTTGACAGGGTTTCTGGCTCTTGTGGGAAGCCTGCCCGGTAGCACCTGGCCCACTCCTCCTGGACATTCCCTCAAGTGCCTTCACCAGAGTCCTCTTCTTCCCCAGGAGTCTCTGGTTTCCACTCTCTGGTTGCTTTGGCTTGGCAACCAGCCTTCCATGGGTCTCCTCCCCCTGCTCTACTGGTGGCAAGGCAGATTTTATAGCCACCCTTCACCATAGGAAAATTATTTCCCTCCTCTCACCTAGAGTTGTCAACAGGTCCTCAGGGCTGACATGGCTACCAGGGCCTCAATCTGGGTGCTACTCCTGCAGAAGTGCTGGGTCTCCATGGCTCAGGCTCCCTGTTTTGACTATTGCGACTCCGTGGTGGGCATAGGCGTCAAAGGTGACTTAGACTCAGGCCCTGGGCTGGAGCATATGGTCCTGTTTTCTTCACAGCCACTGGAAGCCTCCAGATGGTCTATAATATGAAGTCAGCTAGCAGCTCACACATGTTTCCCTTTCTGCCCATTCCCACCCTAATTGTGGCTGGGCCTTGGGCTGCCCTTGGGCACTTTACCTCCAGTTAGCATTTGTACATGAGCCTGAATCACAGCATCTTTATCAAGCCGTGGAGACCACCTGCTAGGAGAGTACTGAGTCTCCAGCTCCTGTCAAGAGAGAAAACACAGGACCAGGTAACAAAGACTGCACTGACAACTTTTTTGCTCAGAAGAAGAAAAATGCAGAGAAAATGCAGGCTGAAAAATACTGGCAGATGCATGATTCAGATACAACTAATCCTTAGTAGGAAAGAAGGGAATAGCATGTTAAGCAGATGAAGAGAAGCAATGCAAAAGACAGATATGAAGACGTGTATGTTACTGGGAAGTGAGGAGCATCGTAGCCAAGCCTATTTTGAGACCAAGTGTTAGTTATTTAACTGAAAGCTCATTTTTTTTCACTACAAAAATAACACAGGCATGGCTTCTGCAAAGGATTGTGAAAAACAACTTGTTCAGCATCAAAAATGTCTGAAAAATGAAATGAGCAATGCCCCCTCCCATCATTCTGTAAAGGATAACAATTGGCTTTCCTTTTTATGATGTAGCTTTATGAGCCCTCTTCCCTAGCAACAAACTTGACAGTGGGTAGGAGGTACAAGCTAAGGTGCAGTAGGAAGGCATTGCAGCAGACTTAGCCAAAATCCCAACTGCCCATTTGAAGAGGAAGCATGCCTGGTAGCCACAGATCTAACCTCTTTGCACTGTAGAAGACATGGCATCTTACAATATGTCCCCGTTTCATATCATTCAGGATGCTAGCTGTGCTTGCTTTCATCTTGTGTGTAATTGTGGAGATATTTCTACTCCGTAGAGCTCTGAACTAACTCATAATTTTAGACTGGGCCTTTCAGTTTAGATTTCATTGCTTTAAATAGTATTTTTAAATTATTTTTTTTTAATGTCATAAATATTTGTGAGTTGCCAGAATTTCTGTTACACGGTAGTTATATATGAAGGTATGTTTTTAAAGTCTTCACAACTATTTTTTCTTCAAAATACAAAGAGTGAGATATTGTCTTTATATAATATAACACCTATTTTGCAATTGCTACTTTGTCATATACTCATTGCATATATCCAGGCATATATCCTAACACTATACTCAGTCTTAGTCAGGAGGTCAAGAAGTGATGTCATATTTAGGAGACGTAAATTTCTGTTACACGGTAGTTATATATGAAGGTATGTTTTTAAAGTCTTCACCACTATTTTTCTTCAAAATACCAATAATGAGATATTGTCTTTATAACACCTATTTTGCAATTGCTACTTTGTCATATACTCATTGCATATATCCAGGCATATATCCTAACACTATACTCAGTCTTAGTCAGGAGGTCAAGAAGTGATGTCATATTTAGGAGACGTAAGAAATAAGCATGAAGACTTTCAGATATAAATTCATAAATACAATTAAATATAAATTAAAAGAATAACTATATCCCAGTCTTCATAACTACTTCACGTGAGACAAACTGAACAAAAGCCAGCAGTGGGTATGCACCAGACTACTATATGAGCACATGAATTTTCTTATGCCTTGCTAGTATCAGCTGATTGGTTTAGGCAGATCTCTGCATTCCTCATTACTACAGTCACCCTTCTAAACACCACAGCTCAGTATGATTCCCATTTCTCCTTTGTGTACATGACATTCAGACATCTCAGGTAACATTTCTAAAAATCTGACAAACAAAAGTTCTCACCTAGGAAAGTGGTGCACTTTTTAGTCTTTAAGAAGACAATATGTTGCTTTTGTGGCAACTGAAAGGGCACAACTTCTTAAATAAACTCTCTTGCTGTCTTTTCCAAAAGAAAAGTTGAAATCTGCTTTGTGGCTGCCATCACAATCCTTCCCCCACCCAATGGGAATAAATGCCTTGACAATCTCACACATACTGTAATGATCTCTCCTTTACAATCCAGTAGTTTACCTCCTTTGTCATTTTCTGCCACTTTCCCATGTCACTGGCTCAGATGTTGCCTATGCTCTATTTTCTCCAGTCTGGGCTGCAGCACAACTAGAGTTATAAAACTCATGTGACCAAATTCAGCTTCTGAGAACAATCTCCAGAAGGGATCAGATGTTCTCCCTTGGCTTGCGTCCCAGTGCTGAGGGGAGTCAACAACTTCTGCTAAAAGTAACTATGATCCCTTTTAATAAACAAACCTACACTGGGACTTACGTAAAGGGCAGAGTCTTTCAGTATTTACTTTAGGTCACACATGATTACATTTAGATAACCTGATATCCTCCTGCTACAAGATACAACCTGAAATATGATAACAAATTCAGGGCAAGCTTTTTCTGTGGCCAATAATCCCCTCTTCCCAAAAAAACTTTTTCAGAGAAACAAAATCTTTCTGCCTTTACATGAAAAGGTTCTAAGCTTGTCCAAAAGGGGAGTTTCCCTTATTTTTTTGTAGATACCTTTGCATCACTGGTGTTGAAACCCAGCTCAACAGTCAAAGAAGCTATATGAACTGCAGTAAAAGAAGGCTGAGGTTACAGTACTGGTGAGAAGACTCACCCGGAAAGACAATAATGTTAGGAAATGATGAAGGTACCAAGAAAAAAAAGGCTCAAGCAGAGTCCCAGCCAAGGATAAAGGTGGGGAAAGGGGGTTATCTCCTTTCCATCTGCCCAACCTTCACCCCAACATTATCCCCTCACGCCACCACTGCCTCCTTATTCATGAGTAAGCCAGTTAAACCTTTCTCACAAGTAAACCAACAAGACTCATGTGGACCCTTCTCACAGGTTAATAAATTTCTCCAGAGTAAAAAGAAAAATTGTTCAAGTGAGAGTTAAAATAGACCACAATGAAGGTAAGAACTTTTAAAGCTTGAATTAGACCACTTCAAATTCTCCCATCTGGGCAGGCCTTAAGTCTGCTCTGGCTGTGTAAGGGTAAATCAGTAACTAAATGACATTACTGTACTACAATGATACTGCCTGATTACCTTCCAAAGGTTATATAACATCTGTTGGTGCAGAAGTGGGCCCTCTACTTACGAACGGCCCTAGTTACGAACGTTTCAAGTTACAAACCCAATCTCATAGAAAACAACAGGCCCTATTTACGAACATTGCCCGAGTTACAAACCCGATCCAGAGAAACAGTGGGCCCGACTTACGAACCTGTGGTTCAAGTTACGAACAAAAAAAACGGTGAGGGAGGCGGGGAAAGAGCAAAATTTGAACTTTCAGTTAACTGTTGGCCAGCGAAGAGGGTGGTGTTCTGCTTCCTTGCTCTTCCCAGCATTTACAGAGTGGATAGAGAGACAGTCTTTAGACTGCCTGGTACTGGCACAGTGCTGTACAGACAGTACAGTACAGTACAATATTCTAATTTTCTTGGCTTTTTAAAAATTGTTGGATTTTTGGATTTTTTATTTTTTATGTTATTTTTTTAAGCAGAGAGACTGCCTGTTCTGGGTGAGTACACTACAGTATGTTTTTACTTTACTGTACAGGGTTTTTTGCAGCTCGTTGGTTGGGGTGTTGAGGAATTCTGTTGGGAAGAAAGCCTGCTTGCAAGCAGGATAAAAATGGAGTTCAGAGCCATGTCTCTCTTTGTGCTGAGGAGTGTTTTTCAAGGTGTTCTGTTGTCTGAAAGGTGCTTGTTCCCTCTCTCATTTGCTGTCCCCTTTCCCCCCAAAAGGTGCTTGTCTTGGCTGAAAATGTGCTTTTCAAGGTGTTCTGTTGAAAAGGTGTCTGTTCCCTCCTTCCCTCCCTCTTTTCTTTCCTTTTTGTAAAACCTAAGTCATCTTAAGTTAAAAAGAAAAAAAGAAAAAAATCTGCCCCTAGTGGTAGGAATGGATTAACCGGCTTTGCATTAGTTCCTATGGGAACTAATGATTCGAGTTACAAACCACTGCTCAACTTAACCAGAAACAGCCGGGACGGATTAAATGGTTTTCAGTGCATTCCTATGGGAAGTGCTGATTCGACTTACAAACTTTTCAATTTACAAACTTCCTTCCGGAACGGATTAAGTTCGGAAGTAGAGGGCCCACTGGTAGGTGGAGGGAAAAGCAAAATATAGGGAAGGGAAGAGAGAGAGAAAGAGTGAATGACAGACAAAATATTGGAAATTAAAAAAAACACCGTACCAACACTTAATTTCCTGCAAGTACATAAGATAACTCAGTTCAATAGCACAATAATTCTATGATACTAAAATGTGCACTATGGCACAAAACATTTCCTGTCCAGTGTGTCTTCTTCTATGGTCTGTTCCTCTCTTTCATGATTCACAGCCCTCTTACCACATATTTCTCTCCTTCCCTCTACTTAGCCCAGCTAACATACATCATTTCTAAATGTCCCGCTTTTCTGCTATATTCGAGCCACATTATAATCAAGCAATTATAATTGGGTATATTTTTTTTTATGTAATGGTCCCGGTGAGGGAGGAGGTAGAGTCTGTATTGCACTCCGCTCCCTATCTAAAATAGTTTTAACAGTTATAAATATTTGGAAGGGCTGAGCCCTAATTTTTTTTAAAATCAGTCTGAGTTTTTATAGTTAGCAGGTCACGGTGGCAGTGAAGATCTGCAGGAGGTGGTGAGTTATTACTAGAGCATTCCTTCTCAAGGAGATGGGCATTGGGAAATGCCTCCATGATGCTGATAAAGAATATCTGTTTTCCTTTCCCGCTTCAAAACAAACCAAGATAATGGACTTTTTTTACTGCAGAGCCTGAATTTACACTCCCCACTGCCATATTTTTTTTAAATCAGTCTGAGTTTTTATAGTTAGCCGGTCATGGTGGCAGTGAAGGCTGGGACAAGATCTGCAGGAGGTGGTGAGTTATTACTAGAGCATTCCTTCTCAAGGAGATGGGTATTGGGAAACGCCTCCATGATGCTGATAAAGATTTGTTTTCCTTTCCTGCTTCAAAACAAACCAAGATAATGGACTTTTTTTTACTGCAGAGCCTGAATTTACACTCCCCACTGCCATATCCACCTCTTTCTCTCCTCTGGTGGAAAGTGATAACGAAGGTAATCAAAAGGGAGAGAACGACAAGCAGCAACCTTGTTTGATATGTGTTTTCGCGCCCTCCCCTTGCTTACGGAGGTCGCAAAAACGCTGCGGGGGGGCATTTCGGGCCATCCGCAGCCATTATGGAGCCGCCGATCAGCTGATCGGCGGCTCCAAAATGGCCGCCGGAGCGAAAACATTGCTGGAGGGGTACGTTTCCACGCTTATTGGAACGCATTAAACTAAGTAGGCTTTCCTTACCCACACAGCGATGTTTTCGTATAGCGAAGGTTAATCCGGAACGGATTAACCTCGCTATACGGGGCACCACTGTACCAGAAGTGATGAGGATCAACAGCAAGGCATCCTCAACAACAATCTCTCCCAACTTTCAACAGACTGGGCAGTAATTAGATGGAAGCCTAAGAAAAACAGGGGAGGATTTTAAAACATTTGCTCTTTCTTTGCGATCCTGGAAAATTTGCTTAATGGTCTGCTTCTATAAAGGAAAAGAAATAAACTGGTCTACCAAGAACCAAGTAGCAAGACATCTAAACTTCCTCTTGAAGACTCCTCCCTTACTAAAGGACCTAATTTCAGTCAAAACCATAAACAAATCTAACCAGATACAAAAAGTAGTGCTACTGTTCCAAACCAAAAAATACCATCGTTGATACTGAAGTAGGAACTCTACCCATGCTCTGTTGCTGTTTGTTGGACAGTTGAGTATTTATAGCTGTGGGAATAGCTTTTGTCTTTTTTCGGAGATAGGGGGATGATTGTGATCATTTGCTGCAGCTAATTGAGGCTAATTGAGATGTGGTGGTTCAGCCATTGTCTGCCCCAACAACTCTTCAATCATGCTAGTCTTATTCAAATATGACTTCAGCCCATCTTCTTTTGCTCCACCTCTTCATCTTTTTTACTGAACTAGGCAGAAGAACCTCTGACAAAGGAGAGAAGCAGAAATTTGGAGAAAATTAGCTTTTATAGGCTACTATGCCTATAACTCCCCCAGCCAGTGTGGCTACTGGGAGCTGTAGTCCAGAAAAGTAGCAGCTTCAACCTCCAGGAATAGGAGTTTAAGAAGAGCCCAGTGGATGGATAAGGCCAATGGTTCTGTCCAGCATCATGTTAGCAAAAAATGACCCAGCTGGAGGTTGTTCTACAGCGATTTCTCTGGAACGAATTAACGTCGTAATGCGAGGCACCACTGTATTGGGAGCCAGGTCCTGTTTAGTTTTAGGCCTTCTTCCTTTTTATTGAAGTTCTGTTGATGTTTATGGATTTCAGTGGCTTCCCTGTGCAGTCTAACATAATGATTGCTGGTGTTGTCCAGTATTTCAGTATTTTGAAATAGAATTTCATGTCCAGCTTGTTAACTGTCCAACAAACAGCAACAGAGCATGGACAGAGTTCCTATTCCAGTCCTCTGAAGATGCTGGCCACAGAGACTGGCGAAACATCAGGAAGAACAACCTTTAGAACACAGCCAAAGAACCCGAAAAACCACAACAACCATCACGACACACTACACATTGCTTTGTGGAAGGATTTCCCCGGTTACTCACAGAGCTGTTTGGAAAACAGCATGCCAGAATGCAACCAACAAAAGGGACTCTCAATCACTTGTGGTTTTTGTTCTTTCATGGGGGTAATTGAGAGCCAAGGATTGCTAATGGGAGGGGGAAATGTGCGTTTCAGCAGAACTGGGAATAGCTTTGAGCATCCATGATGCTAACAAGAATGGGACTCTTTGGCCAAATAAAAATGGATTTTAATACTACCCTGCATGCGTCTGTTGAGTTTGGATTCTTTTAAAGGGGATTCTACTGTACACAGACCTGGAAAGGTGCATGTGGGTCAGATTTTCTTTGGGTAGAGTTCTTGCACCCAAGTTACCCTCTTCCCATGCCAACAATTTCAATTCTATGAATACGGAATATTAATACCTGTTGTGAAGGAGAGAAGGCTAGTGTGCCGTCTTCTACTGAACAGACCTCTGAGGAAAACCGTGGCTGCATAGAGGGGATACTTGTGGAAATAGGACAGGAGGTGGTGGAATGTAAAGAGTCATTAGAAGTGTGTCTGGCTGACGAAGGGGGGGGAGGAGCTGGACTTGATTATCTGAGAGGAGGTTATAAAGGAGGAAGAGAATGCGCAAAGTTTCAGAATTCTATTGGACGGAGGACAGCCAGAAAGAAAGAGTCGAGGAGTACAGACGGAGCTAGTTTTTGGGCAAGCAGGCGCTACAGGTCTGATGATAGACTTTCCAAATCTGCAGATTGGAGGAGGTTTGTTGCCAGACCCAAGGGATTTACATACAAAGGAGGGTGATCTAGAATTGCTGGAATGGACAGTGGTGATGTATCCTTGCAACCAGCGTGGGGGACGAAGGGTGATCAGTCGCAGTCCCTCTTTACTCCGTCCACAACGCGAAGTGGTGGTGTATCCTTGCAACCAGTGTGGGGGACGGAGGGTGATCCGTCCCAGTCCCTCTTTATTCTGTCCACAACGCGAGGGGGGCTGGGCGAGACACCTTTGCTGTGGGACAGTTTGTGCCGTGAGGAGCACCCCCCTGAGACCTATGACCGATCGGGAACGATTTGGACCGGCCCCTCTGTGAGAAGTGAGTTGAGGACGCCAGATGTAAAAGTACGCAGTTATAGGATTTTACCCGAATTGAGTTTATTGGACCCCTTTGAAATTGTTGAGTTGAATTTGTTAAACAATAAAAAGACTCATGTTAAACGTTCAGAGCCGCCTCCGACTCTCCTTCCCGCGCAAGCTCAGGGTTCGTCTCCTGCCGAAGATGAACCTATTCACACCTGTTCTCTGCAACTAATCATATCTAAACAGGACTGAACTACCTCGGTACAAAGCAATTCCAGGGTATTGTTTGCTTCCTGTATCTGGAGAGGATACTAGAGTGTGTGTATGTGAAAAAGATCAAAACCAATGGGATGCTGAGTCACTTTTTTCTCCTCATCCTATGATTCTTCCTAGTACTCAAAACTGTTTCTTAGCATTCTGGAACAGATTTTGCAGATGCAAATGTTATCCGAGGAGAAAATCAAAGTGTATGTCTCTGGTGCTGTAACTCAAAAGTTAAACATATCTGAGTGCTTTAACATGAAGGCAGTGTGATTCAATACATTTTGGCTGTACCAGTCAGCTTGAACAAATTTTAGCCATGCCCATCTTCTGCATGTGATGGGGTTTATGTGGAAAAGATTTCAGAACGTTGTTCTCCAGCTGCTTTCAGGAGATAGTCCATCCTAACTTAAGAAGGAACTAAGGACTCAGAAACACTATTACACCCATACTTTCTAGAGTCTGTCTATCCTGCATACAATTCGAAGTGTCAGTCCTGATGTAGAAAGTCTTGAATGTCTTTGCACCTGCATACTTTACAAACCATCATTCTTAAAAAAATCAGATGCTTCCTCTTGTATAAAGAAATTACTGTACATAACAGCTGACTCATCATTCATAGGGTTGCTTGGTTTGAAGGTTTCTTGGAAAGTTGTTCAGAAGTAGTTTAAAATATCAGTCTGGATATAAAGTGAGGGGAAAGATGTTACTGCACTTTTTTTGTGTGTGTATTAACTGCCCTAAGTTTCTAAAAGAAGGTGAAAACACACATTCTGTTAAATTGCCTGTTCAGTTATTTTTGCAAAGAACCTCAGCCTTAGTACTGCAGAGCTGGAAGAGATCCTATGGATCGTCAAGTCCAGCCCCTGTCAAGGAGGCACAGTGGGGGAATCGAATTCACAGACCTAGATATCCAAGAGGTTTTTTTAAAAAAACATAAAACATCATAGTGAAAGGTTTTTTAAAAAAAATCAACAGCAGCAAGCATTATCCAGGAATTAATTGCAGCCACGGATTGTTTGAGGCTGCAATCCTATAATACCCACTTAACTTGGCTACCCTCCAGGACAATTCTCTCCTGCCATTAAAAGCTGGCAGTGTTGAACGCCAAGGCAAAAGAGGTTCTCCAAACAACCAAAAGGGGGCACTCGCAGCAGCTCTCCGCACTCCTACTCTCCTCCCCCCCTCAGGCTGAACTAACAAGCCTTTCGGGGAGGAGATTGCCAAAATATTTCAAGACAGTTTTTCCCGCCTTGTCTGTGATTGGCTGCGGTGTGACAGAAATTCTTCTGATTGTCCGTTCAGCCGCGCGAGCCGTTCTGATTGGACATTTTTTTCTAGATAGGTATAAAAGGAGGGGCGGAAAAAGGCGCGCGCGGGGCGAGAGATTTAAAAGTGGTTTTTTGTTTTTTCTTCTGTCCGACGAAGAAGGAAGCGGAGCCATGAACTGCTTGATGATGCCCGGAGTGCAGCCAGGATCGCCCCTCAAGGCCCGCGGCCAAATCCAGGCACGTAAGGGAAGGGAACAGGAGGTGCAACCTTTAAAATCCGAGGGATTTTAAAGGTTGGAAAGGGAGTGTAGAGCTCAAGAGTATTTTAGGCTGGAACGGGAAAACAGGAAGGTTTGGGCTCCTGGCCATGTTTTTCCCGAAGCCCTTGGCTGTGGGGGTGCTGGAACAGAAGGGGAAGACAGGGAGCCCGGTTTATATGGCTGGGGGTGGTGGTGGATGGAAACAATGTCAGCCGGGCTCCCTGGCAGAAAAGGCCTTTTGATCCCCTATACGGATCTTAAAACTGTAGGACTGTAAGAATATACACTTTGCAGGTTTGGATGAGCCCCTCATCCTATTTCCAAAATAAGGCCAATCAATCAGCTTGCATTGTTCGTTTATTTCATAGGGTAATGGACTTTCTCTCCCACTCTAGGTCATCTTTGGACCCATGTTCTCTGGAAAAAGGTACAGTATCCTTATCGGGTGGGGAGGCATGACAGGGCAAAGCGGAATGGTATACAGTGGACCCTTGACTTACAGATGGCTTGACTTACAGACTTTTTGAGTTACAGACTTCTCTGGCTGCAAAATTTAGGTTTGACTTGCAGACTGAGATTTGACTTACAGACCAGAAAAAAAACAAAATGGAACAAAAATGGCCTGTTACGGGATTAATCGGTTTTCAATGCACTGTAGGTCAGTGGAGACTTGACTTTCAGACTTTTTGACTTGAGAACCGCCTTCCAATATGGATTAAGTTCTCAAGTCAAGACCCCACTGTATACTTTCATTGGTCATCTGGATCTTAGCGTAGGCTAGGGCACCGTTGTTCTTTATCCTGGGAGTATATGTCACATGGATGCTACAAGCGCTCTAAAAGGGGCTGGCATGTATAGCCTTCCCCAACCTGGTCCTCTCTACATGTTTTGGACTACAACTCCAGCATTCCTGACCATTAGAGATGATGGAATTGGCACCCAGAATAAGGAGATGGCACCAGGTTTGAGAAAGCTGGTTTATGTGTTGTGTTGTGGCCTTCAGCTAGGTGAGCGCTCCTGCCTGCATCTCCACTGTTGTGCTGTTTCCTTTTCTTCCAAGTGTAGGAGATGGGTTACGCATGTGCAAGCATAGGGATGTCTCATAGTTTAGATTTAGCTTTTGATGGGTCCACTGTAACAATGGTGAGGGAAGGGATGGTGTGAGTTATTGTCCAACATTATCTGGAGGAACTACATATTTCCTGTCTCTGTTCTGTAAAATAGGCCCTGGCCATGAGCTTTCTTTCTGGTAGGGTCAGGAGTGGATTTTGTAATAGGGAAAAAGTGATTGTTGTTTTTATAATCCTCTCTGTAGTGCTGCTTTCTGTCTGTTGAAGAACAGCCAATGTCCTGCGTCTAAGTCCCTAATGAAATTTTGGGTGCCTATGTAGGCTTATGTGTGGGCTTTTTCCCAAGTTAATAACACTGTTGTTACATTACGCGGAGGTAACCAAGGCAGCCTGTCTTGTACACTTTCTTTCAAATGATGGCCGAGGGCTTTAATTAACAGCTGCATGACCTCCTGGCACCTCTCTGGCCTCTTCTGCATTTAATTCCCACTGGAGAACTTCCAATTTTTGTTTTGCAGCACTGAACTCCTGCGCCGAGTTCGTCGGTTCCAAATTGCACAGTACAAATGTGTGCTGATCAAGTATGCCAAAGACACGCGCTATTGCGTCAACGGAGTCTCCACACATGACAGGTAAATTATTAAAGACATTCTAAAGGTAGTGAAAAGGAAAGGCACCTTACACAGCCAACTTTTTAACACCATTTCCTGCTTGCTCTGGAAACAACTGCAGGTGCAGTACATGTGTACATTTTTGATTACATCATGCAGTTATGGAATCAATCTGACAAACATTTGGAAGTCAGAAAATGTAGGTTCAGAAATTCAGCTTCTAGATGATAAAGTGAGAAAGGTAAATAAGTTCAAGATATCCTTGCCATTTCTGCCTACAGTAGACCCTTTTAAGTCATAGAATTTAATTAGTAAACTAAACTAATACATTATGCTGTATAAAATATAATTTACATTCCACTAATTTCAATGGGTCTGCTCTAGAAAATAGTATTCCATTCCTTGTGTGGATGATGACCATCCTCACTTCTGCAACTCCTGCAGGATTTCCTGTAGCTAGAACTACAGATTTGTATTTTTGAATAACATGTCCTTGAATAGCCAAGGGAGCATCCAAGTGGCCATCCTACCTTGGCAATTCTGGGTGTTGTCTATAAACACAGATCTATGCACCAGTTAATTGTGCATTTACACACACATACAAGTGATGAAAACAGAAAAGTAGCCTCTGCTGCTTTGGAGTACAGAAGACTCCAAATTGGTAAAAGCACTTTTAAAAAAGCTTATGGTTCCAGCTGTTCTCTGTGGCCCTACTGCCTATTTCATATATATCCCACATTAAATGAAAATCACCCTGTATTTGTGACTTTGTTTGTTATAGGCCACTTAATATATTTGTATAGTACAGTATAGGTCATTTTACTATATGGCTACTGATGGATAATGATGTGAGATATATTTTACAGTACGGTGGCAGAGTCTGAGCATTTCAGTAAATTCAAATGTTTTAAAATGCATTTTTCTAGAAAGGCCAGAATCATGTTGCTTAGCAAAGTAAATTGCACTAGAGTAGCCCTATTGAGTCAGTGGTGATTTGGTGAGTCAACTCCTCCCTAAATCCCATTGATTCCAATGAGCCTACTCTAGCTGTTACTTTAGCATATTAAGCCTATTTGAACGAATGCAACTTAGGGAGGAACTGACCCACTAAATCCCCCACTGATCCAGTGGGCCTGCTCTAGTGCAATTTACTGTGTTAAGCAACATGGTTTTAGCCAAAACGTTATTACAAACCTTGACTGTGTATACACACAGACATTTCGAGGGAGACAACCCACTCCAGCGGTTGCTGGACTGTTAACTTCCATGAGTGCTAGCCTGCACAAGGAGTGGTAAAGGATAGGAGGAATTCCTGGAGAACTTAAAATTCTCCATCTCTATAGTCTACACTGTAACATTCTGCTATTTCTTATCCTTTTTGTGATTTGAACAGTATTTTAAAGATCCTTCTTATGTAAATGACATCCAGATTTGGGAGCATTTGCCAGGCACTCACACTGAAAAACAGCTTTTTGCAATGGAGTTGGTTGATAATGCTAGCAATTGTGATTTCATGAATAATGTATTTCTTTGTCTGCATAGGAATACCATGGAGGCAGTGTTGGCTTGTTGCCTCAAGGATGTGCATCAGGAGGCGCTCAGTTCTGCTGTAATTGGCATTGATGAAGGCCAGTTTGTAAGTTCTTTTGTAACGTCTCTGTTCACCCAAAGCAGATTAGTTAAGCACTGCTAGTTTTCTTTCAAGCTGTTACAGGGGCTCAGGGTATGATCCTGCAACTACTTGTCTGAAGTAAGGCCTGCAGAGCTCAGCGGGATTTATCGCTGAGATGACATGAATAGGGTCGCACTGCAAGTTCTCTTTCATGTTGCAAAGAAAATTATTTAACATGGAGGAGGTAAGCAGGGCATATTTAACGGAAGTATTTGAACTACATCGCTAGTATGAGCTGTCTTAACATGCATATCTGTAGGGCACAGGTTCTCCAAAAAGGTTCCCTGACTCTCTTCGAGGGGAGGATGTTCCTACTTGGTTGAAACATTCCAGGGGGCCAGTGTATTGATAAAAGATTAAGAGGCGTATTTCATGGGATAGAGAGGAGGAATGAGCTCTTGCTGCTTCATAATATTGTGATCTTAGCAACTGCAGAGCTGGAAGGAACCCTCTGGATCATCGAGTCCTGTCCCTGTCAAGGAGGCACTGTGGGGGAATCGAACTCCCAACTTCTAAGCCACTGAGCTATTGAGCAGTTCACACAGATAGGTGGAAGGTAGTGAGGAGCCTTTCTGCCACTTTCTTATGTGGGCCACAGTGTGGGTGTTGGCATTCTTGGAAAGGAACCTAAGTTGATAAGACCTTGGTTTTGATATTTTTCTAAGCACAAAGGAGCATTAGGTAATACATAATCTAGGTGGGGAGCTGTGTCTTATCAAGAAATAAAAAGGATTATAGTCTTGATTTATAAATTCAAAAACCACATTAGTGGACCTTAGGAATACTAGAAAACAACCAAACGTGTGCTTATTTTTTTTTATAGCACAGGAGCCCACTGTATCTGTCACGACAGGACCTACATACTTCTTTGGCCCACTCTGTCTCTTCCGTTTCACACTTCTCCCCTTCACTCCCTTAGATGCACAATGGTAGCTGTGCATAGGTGTCCAAATGGCTTTTTTAAAAAAATCCAGATTCACAAGAATAGAGGAAGCTTAGAATACTCCCTGTGGACCATCAGAGCATGTATTCCAATTACTTCCACAAAACCCACCAAGTTAGAATCTTTGGATGAATTTGATTAGTTTTCATACTAAACCCAGTCTTGTGGGGAAGCCTTGCAAGCCTCCTGAAGGTGGGGATGCCTCCCATCCCCCATGCCAGGAGGCGCTGCAATCGTCTCCATTTCTCTATCCTCTAATGTTTCCCTTCTGTAACCCTAACATGTTTAAGAAGAAAGAAGTTGAAGGAGGTAACAAGTTTAGGGATGTAAAGGACAGCTTCCCCTCTTAAGTCCTCATATCCTAGTATAGTCTCGTGTTTAGTAAGAATGAATGAAGCCCCTGTTTGCAAAGAAACGTTAGTAATGAGCTTCATGAGATAAGGTAATGAAATTAATTCCTAGAAGAACTATCCTATTTTTAGAATGAATCTTGAGGACATGAATGGACTTGGACAATCTAAGACTTTACAATAACTTAGCTCGGCCTTCTATCATTATTATTAATAGCAAAGTATTTATATTTCTGG